TGGCTTCTTGGGGACCGCTGTCTGTTGCTGGAGCGTCCTGGGCCTGTTCTGTGCGCCAGTAATCTGGACCCGGATCCCCAAACTCACCCAAGCCCGCTGTGAGATATCCCAACGTCACCTGTGCCCCGGAATCAATCTTGATTGCGTGACATCATAGCTGACGCCTCGTAATGAACTCAACCCCGATGCCACCCAAACCCGACCCGGGCAAGGCCATTTACGGGACCCCGGTATTCACCACAATCCCAGTTCTGCCCACTTCCCTACCCCCAGCCACCCCAACTCCCCCCAACCCAGTCTGCCTGCACCCCTCAACCCACACGCTGAACCCCGCGGACCCCTGGCGTCCCCACACCCCTCGCTCCCTGGCTGAACATCATTGCAGGGCAGCTCCGGCTAGCAGGGGCGTCCACTTCAGCGCTCCAGTCCCCACTGTGCCCTGCTACCCAAGACTGCAGCAGCTCTGCCCCCCGCCCCGCCCCCGCTCCCTGGTCCCGGCCCAGCTCAAACCGGTCTCTGGGCCCGGTGGAAGAAGCCAGTGTGGGCTTCTGCCTGCCCAGACAGTGGGAGACCCCCTGGCTCTGCCCCAGGGCTCAGCAGGGCGGACCCCAGGCCCAGCTTGAGCCTAGGCCTCACACACACACTCACCCTCCAACACGCTCACCCTCCAGCGGGTCGAGCTGACTCAGCCAGGGGCGCAGGGACCCTCCTTGGCTCGAGGACCCCTCCCCTCCGAGAGGCGGCAGCTGGACTCACTGCCACCCTGCACTCTGCAGCCCCGCACCCTCCGCTCACGCAGGGCAGCACGAAAGGCGCGGAGACCACGCGCTCAGCGCCCGCCTGCAGGAGGGCCCCGGCCCGCCAGTCCTGCCCGGCGTGCCCGGACTCCGGGTGTGTGCTTGTGCTCAGGTGTGTACCTGCGTCTGCGGTCACCTGTGGCCCGTGGCGGGTTCAGGGGGCGGGGACCCTCTTCACTAGCCCACCGCGGCCGCTCCGGGCTGGAGCGCGCTGCCGGCGGAGACACGAGGGGGCGCTGCGGCCTCGCTATGGGTCGGCCCGGGCCTCGGTGTCAGCCTCGCTCCTGGTCCGGCCCCTCGGCCCGCCGGCCCGAATGCCCCGCCTTGGCTCGGGAGACTGCAGTGGAGGAGGGGACCCAGAACAGCCGGCGGGCCAGCGCGGGGCTGCCCCTGCCACCAGGGATGCGGGACCGTGGTTCTCCTGTCTCCCTGACGGTCTCTGTCCATCTCCATCTCTGAACTTCCCGTTTCTGTGCCCCCTCTACCTCCCTGTCTCTATCTCGCTGTCTCTGTGTATCTCCATCTCCGCATTTCCCTGTCTCTGGGCCTCTGCATCTCTGTGTCTCGCCATCTCGGTCTCCCAGGCTCTAGCTCGTTGTCTGTGGCCCACTCTGGCTCTGTCTCCCTGTCTCTAAGCCGTGGTCTGCGCACCCCTGTCTCCCCTAGGTCTCTGTCTCGCCGTCTCCGCGACAGCGACCCCCCTGTCTCCCCTCTGTCTGGCCTCTCGTGTCCTGCCTGTCCTGTCTGGGCCGGCTCATTCACAAAGACGCCCACTCGGCAGGGGTGCCCGCCTCACACGGTGCACCCCCAGGGGCTCCCAGCTGCTCCCCGCCGTGTAGGCGTCGCCGTGGAGACGGGGGCGTGGCCGCCTCGCTCCCGCGCCTCCTACTCCTCCCTCCCCGCGGGGCCCGGCCCGCAGGACGCCGGATCCTCCCCCGACCCGGGCTAATGACCGGGCGGCGGCAGTGAGCGTCTGGGCTCGGGGCGGGCGTGGCCAGG